CAGACAGTTGCAGGCACCAATATTTCATCTGTGCTCACTCAGATGAAAGGAATATGGTGTTTTGTTCCCCAGGAACACTAGGATAACTGGGGGCTTGTCAAAATTAGACTTTATTTTTTGGAGTAATTTCAGGTTCACAGTAAGACTAAAGGGAAGGCAGAGAGATTTCCCAGAGACCCCCTGCCCTTACATACAAACAGCCTCCCACACTCTCAGTAGTCCCGCAGCAGAGTGGTACATTTGTTACAATGGATGAACCCACACTGACACCTTATTATCGCCTGTAGTCCAGAGGTGACTGGGCCTGGGTGATGCCAGCTTGAGCACTGCTGGCTCCATACTGGCCTTGAGATCATGCTTTCCCAGAGCTTCTGACCAGCTGCACCAAGACTTAAGCCTAGCCTGGCTTGACTCCCAAGGGCAGGTGCCTCGCTGTCATGGTGCTCAGTGGTCCGATTACTGTTCAGGTCAGGGGAACATAGTTGGATAAACAGGGGCCACCTCACAATATCCAAAGGGCTATCCTAGGATGCAGGCTAAGTTATTATGTGTGCCCATATCAGTGAGTGAGACTTAGAGAGGGAATTTCTTTTCTGTTGGCCAGAACAGTCCTTGGAAGGCCAGGTTACCCATGAGCTAAGCAAGTGTCCATCAATTGATGCTTTGGGATGCTTGTGGATAACCCTGCCTTGGGAGAGGTTGGCCTGTATGATCCAAAGGTGTCTCTTGACTGTCACTTCGACTAATCTGATTTGTCTTCAATTCTACTGAGCACCAACTGTACGTCCCTCTTGGCTTAGTGCTGGGGATGAGGAAGGTACTCTTCCTCTCTTGGGTTGACAGTCAAGCGAGGAAGGCAGCTTGTGTAGTTCTTTTACTTGTTGCTCCTTGGCTTGTAGGCTATGGGCTTCTCTTGAGGTTGAGCATCCCAAGGAAGTTGTAAATACAAAAAAGAACTGTGTGCTGGCTAGTTTTATGTCAACTTGACATAAGCTAGAGTCATTTGGGAAGAAGAAACCTCAACTGACAAAATGCCACCCCCCCTTCAGGTTGACCTGTGGTGCATTTTCTTAGTGACTGATACTGGAGGACTGGCCTGCTATGAGTGCTTCACCCATGGGCAGGTGGTCCTGGGATGTTAAGGAAACATTATGAGAAAGACTTGGGGAGTAAAGTCGGTAAGTAGCACTCCTCCATGGCTTCTGTTTCAGCTTCTGCCTCCAGGCTCCTGCGTAAGCTCTTCTCTTGCCCTGATGTCCTTAGATGATAGACTGTGATATGGAAGTGTAAATGAAATAAACCCTGTCTTCCCTAAGTTGCTTTTGGGCATGGTGTTTTACCACAGCAATAGAAAGCACACTGGACAAGCTATATCCTTCAGTTGAGAAGAAATTGGGTGTGAGGAGGTCAAGGGACCTGTGGAGCTCTGAATTAAACATCCTCCCAAAGTTTTTGTTCACTGTGGAATACAGGCCTTCTCAGGACATGTGGGGCCAGCCCTCAGATGGAGAAAGTGCTTAACGGGTGTAAGCACTGCCACCCTTACTATCAAGGGAGCTGTCAACTTCTTTTTGAAGCTCATTCACTTCTTCAGTACCATGAACCAAGAATCTCTATTCACAGAGTGCCTATGGGACCTCTGTTCTCTTCTGGAAGATGCCCGAAGCCCCCCACATCTAGGAGTGGTGTAGCATCAGAGCACCTACTTACAGCTATGACTGTCTCCTGGCCCCCTACTTGCCTCCAGGTGGTGGACTCTGTGACAGGCATCTTCATCTAGGACATTGTGTTTTGGAGGGTAATGATGAAGGTGGTTAATAATGATAATAAGTAGCATATTTGGTCCTAAGTCCTATGTGCACTATTTTGGCCTGTCATCCAGCTACCCATCTACTTTGCTGTTCCAGATACTATACTTGTTTTGTTTTGTTTGGAGACAGGGTTTCTCCGTATTGTTTTGGAGGCTGTCCTGGAACTCACCCAGAAGATCAGGCTGGCCTCGAACTCACAGAGATCCGCCTGATCTTGCTTCCAAAGCAAGGCATTGCTTTCTATCCAAAGTTTGTGTTGAATTTACAATCCTACCCCAGCTTCCTGAGTTCTGGGATTACAGGCAAACATTATCATGAGTAGCCATGCTCTTATCTCAGGACCCTCCTCTTCTTCATGATTGACACATGAGGATGGTCCCAACTTCACATTGAAGGCTTGAATCTGACTGTCTTTTAGACTGTCCTGAGTATCTTGTTAAAAGCTCCAAAGCCCCAGAGGTTCTGCCTATGTCTGCCTGGGGCATGGTATGGTGTTTTAAAACCTCAGCTGAGGTGCTAATCTTGATTGTCAACTTGATAAGATGTAGAATCACTATGGGAACAAATCTCCTGGTTTGTCTGTGAGTAATTATCTAGATTAGGTTAATTAAGTGGGGAGGATCCATGCTACGTGTGGACAGCACCATTCCCTTGGCTCTGGGCTGCAGACTGAAGAATAGAGGAGCACCCCAGTAAGTGTATGCTCACAGGCAGGGCCACCTCTGAGGATGGGAAGTAGGGTGTCAAGAAGCTGAGGGGGAGCCGGGCACGCCTTTAATCCCAGCACTCGGGAGGCAGAGGCAGGTGGATCTCTGTGAGTTCGAGGCCGGGCTGGACTGATAGCCTCAAAACAATACAGAGAAACCCTGTCTCGTAAAAACTAAAAAAAAAAAAAAAAAAAAAAAAAAGAAGCTGAGGGGGCCGGTGTGGCTGGGTCCCTAGTTTCCACTCTAGACTTCAGCTCTCCACACACAGAGGGAGGGGTTGGACTGGCATGGTCACTTTGAACAAATAATGTCTGAAGTCTGCCCAGAGTACTTGCGACCCATCAATACCTGCAGAACCCGTAGGTATTCTTCAAGGTCAAGGTAGAAGGTCATGTCGTCCCCTTTCAAACAAAACTAGCAATTCTCATCATACCCTGACACAGCTGTGCACTGCTAGAGCCCTTGGCCAGGAGGCCAATACCTAATTTGGAATCTAGGGTCCTTGGTGCTCTGATTTCTTAGGGTGGCCATAATCACAGACTAGCAGTGGCCTGGTCTCCGGTGACCCAAACTGTGACTTAGGTGAAAGAATGTGTGATCAAATACAGGAATCCCAAACACCAAGTTTATTCCCTTAGTCGTCTGCAGCAGGAGAATGGTCCCTAGAGAACAGGGTACCAGCTGGGAGGGGGCAATGGTACATGCAGGAGGCAGACTTAGCCTATTCAGGTAGGGACTGCTTCAGGCCATCTGGCCTTGGGTTCCCTGCTCTGGCTGGGGTGAGGCACTGGCCAAGGGTTTTGGGTTTGGACAGAAGGAGGAGCCATAACCAGCAGGAAGTTTCTCCTAAGCCTATCTCAACTAGGAAGTGAATGCGGATGCTGATATCTTCAGATTTGGGCATCTGGCCTCAGGCCTGGGGAAGGTGTGGGTCTGCCTTCTCCAGGGCAAAGCTCCGCCCACAGAGGCTGAGCCTGAGACTAATTGGCTTGCCCTCCTTCCTCGAAGCTGGAGAAAGTCTTGGCTAATTTGCCGGAACGCTCTAGTTAAACGCCAATTAGGATGTTCTGTCCACTGCTCTCTTCCAATATATTAATAATGTAATTAAGCATTTATTGCTCGCACAAATTAAAAATTAACTTAAACAGACAGCCTGAAAAACTGAGGAAATAACCGCTTAGATAACCAATTTGCATCTCATTCGAATATCAACATCTAAACACAGCTCTGTCTGTCCTGGGCGCCTTGGTTTAGCCTTCCAGCGAGGGGCTCAGCCAGCTGCCAGCAGCTGCGGGCTCCTCTTCCACGCTGGATTCTGCCTTTCCTAGGGGATCTAATCTTAGGTGAGGAGGAGGTGGCCTTGTTCCCACGTGGACCTGAGGGCTCGCTAAGCAGCCCTCTTGGCTTCTGTGGTCCCTGCCCCCTCTAGAGCCCATGGTGTGGATCTTGGTGAAAAGAGATGCCACCAGGGGTGAGTGGGGGGGGGTCAGTCCCTGAAGTCCCCTGTCCTCCCTCCCTCAGGGCCGATTTGTCCTGCATTCCAGTCCAGCAGATTGGAAGCAGATGTTGCTGGCGTAGGGGGTGGGGTTGGAGGAACGAGAAGAGGGAAGGGGTGAGGCTGGGACCAGGGGGAGCCGTAGGGGACAGGGCTGCCTCCACAGCCTCAGAATAGAAGGCTAGAGCGCCCCGCCCCCTTTCTGTCTAACACAGCAGGCGCTCCACTGCGGGTTTTCTTCTCAGAGCCACGGGGGACCTGGCAGAGAGGAAGAGGATTCCAAGGAAGTGGGCATGAGGGAAGCAACCTGGGAAAGGGGTGCTGACTGAAGCAAGAGCTCTGAGACAGGGGGCTGCCTGCCAGTGGCTCTAGTCAGAGCAGCACTGCCTCAGCTGAGTACTTCCGTCATCTCTTTCTTGACCCCACCCCCACCCCCACATGCCTTGGCCCTGGCCAGCAGACGCCAGCCATCACCTCCCTGTGGGCCACCACCTCCCCGTGGGCCACCACCACCCCGTGGGCCACCACCACCCCGTGGGCCACCATCACCCCGTGGGCCACCACCACCCCGTGGGCCACCACCACCCCGTGGGCCACCACCACCCCGTGGGCCACCACCTCCCCGTGGGCCACCATCACCCCGTGGGCCACCACCTCCCTGTGGGCCACCACCACCCTGTGGGCCACCACCACCCTGTGGGCCACCATCACCCCGTGGGCCACCACCACCCTGTGGGCCACCATCACCCCGTGGGCCACCACCACCCTGTGGGCCACTGCTGTGCACAGCCAGCTCCCATCTCATGGAAGGATAGCTTCACTGCAGCCTGCAGATGCTCGACCAGAGATGCCTGGTGGGACACCTCAGTGAGTCCCTGTCATAGGATCAGGTGCTCTGGTTATCTGTAGTGCTCCTCTGTCCTCCCCTCCGTCTGGCTGTGTCTCCTTAGCTAGCTTTGTCCACTTCAGGGACATGAAGCAAATGCGTTTGTTTTAAACACTTTATTTATAAAAAAGTACATTTTTTCTCAGTACATTTTCAACCCATCTTTTTTTTTATACAAGTAAAAGGGGGTGGGACCCCCCCAGGTCAGAACCAGGAGAATCTGTTGGGCTGTCCCCAAGACCAAAGAGGAAAACAGTGACGAAGAAACTGAAGCAGAGGAAGCCAGCCACACTCAGTGGTGAGAGTGGCAGCTTCTTCTGGATTTTGTTTCCACTTGTTAAAAACAAAACAAAACAAAACAAAACTAACCACCCCCCCTCCCCAGCCCATTCCTCACAGCCAGGGTCAGAAAGCAGCATCAGTGAGACTGGGTTCCTCACCTCTGGCCCAGGTCAGCTTGAGTCACTGCCCTCACCAGGAGAGGGTATTTCAGTTGGCAGTCAGGCTTGGGGAAGCCTCTACCTGGATCCCCAGAGGCCTGGGAGCACCCCCCCTCCTCCCAGGAAAGGGAATGTGGTATCTGCTGGGCTCAGAGGAGTGGCCCCACCCACCTGACACTAGTCCTGATTCTCCCACCTCGAGGGTAGCAGAAGTTATTGCACCAGTGACTGGGGCACATGGGGAGGGGGTGGGGAGGCTGACAGAGGTGGCACCTTCCCAGGGCTTGGGCCCCTGTCCATCTGTCTTGGACCTGAGCATTAGTAAGGGCTTCTCATTCCGCATGTACTTGTGCACACACATGCCTGCCTGTGCTTGGTCTGTGGAAGGCACGTGCCGGTGTGCTGGGCACGTGTTCACTGATTGTGTGCTGCTGTTCTTTTCAGGTCCTTCTGGTAAAAGAGGCTCAGGGGGTCGTTGGACATCAGAACAATACCAAAATCTGCAGGGAAACAGGAGTCCAGGGGCAGCAGAGGGGCGGGAGGAGGGACAGCGAGAGATGACACCTGGAGAGGCCTTGGCACAGTTAACACACCAAGTTTATTCTCTGTGCAGTAAGGCAGATGCTCAGCCTGGGTTGGGTGAAGCAGAATGCCCTCGCTGTGCTGCACTGGGCCGTCTACTGTCAGCTGGAGGTAGCCACTGTCCCACAAACACAGGGCAAAGAAAGCCCCTCCTCTTTAGGCCCAGCTACTGACCCCTGCCTCATTTCCTCTCGTAGCAGTGCCATAGCTGGGATCCTGCTGCATGGACACCATAAATTGTGCTTTGCTTGGGGGAAAGGCGTGCGGGTGTCTTAAAGGGGGGCGTAGGTGCTTTGTTCTGGCCCAGGGCCTCCTCAGTCCATCACAAAATAAGGAAGGGGGGGGGGGGGTTGACAGTGAAAGGTATGAGGGATGCAGGAGGATCCTTTCAGTCTTATAGTTCCATAGAGACAGAAATACCTCTATGGGGCAGTTAAGGTTCTGCCTCCTGCCTTTGGGGTAAGGGGACCAAGCAGAGGGGTCAGAATGGGCATGAGAAGGGAACTGATGTGACACAGGAGGGACATTAATACTTCTGGGAGGAGCAGCCCAGCTTCCCCATCTTCTTCTGCCCTGTGGCTAGAAAGGCCCCAGAATTTTCTTCCCCAAACTCCACCCCATCCAGTGTCCCCAATGCCAAGAGGGGAAAGTTGCCACAGGGCTGGCATGGCTTCAGACTTCTGCTACGTGGCTACTGGGCGGCCTGGGCTGGGACTAGGGCAGTGAGGGCCTGGCAAAATGGCCCCAGCTGGTAGGCTGAGGGGTGCCAGAGAACGGGGAATTCAATAGCAGCACCAGGGAGGGGAGTTGAGTGAGGGTTGGGGCTCCCTTAGGAAGCCTATGGCAGGGTGGGTCAGTGCCCGTGGGGCACAGAATGGTCTGCCTCCCCTCTCCCCAACACTTGCTGTCCCTCAGAGTGTCACCTTGGGCTAAATTAGCTGAGATCCTAGCTGTAAGGCCCTAGGGCTCTTGCAAACCAGTTTGCCTACCCCAGGGCATAGGCATGCCCATTTAGAATGTGGGAGATCTGGGGGCATAGATGGAGAAACTGAGGCACTTTGAGCTTGGGGACAGAGGGCTGGGATGGGGCCTTTCTCCATGCACTCAAGGGATAACCCAGCCACGAATGGCTGAAGAATCCAGAGTCCCAGTCAAAGAGGGACTCTGCATGTAAAGGAGGCCTTCCATGGACCCCGCATCTCAACACGGCACCAGGAGAAACTGAGTAGGGTCGGACTGTGGACCAGCAGCAGTTTCCTGGGTACCCCTGCACTTTCTCTGAGACCTGTGACGTCTATGCTGGCCTTCCTGAGTGAGATGTTAGCAGTCTCCTTCAGTCTACCAGACTGTGTTTGCAGAGCTTCTGTGAGGCTGCCTTCGCCATATAAATACTTCTTTGCCTCCAATTCCTTCCTGGGATCCCAGCCCCGACTTTCCAGAAGAGTCAAGTGTTGACAGATAAAGAGAAATCTGAAAAATGTGCACATCGTTTGAAAGGCTGGCGCTATATACTGACATCTTAGAGTGGCGGTGTGTGTGTGTGTGTGTGTGTGTGTGTTTGTTCATCCTCACTGTCTCTGTATACTGCTGTGGACTGACCCTTCCCTGAACTGGGAAGGAGTAAGAGCCGAAGCAGAGGGTGGGGCCTGGGACAGCGTTTAGCCTGGGCAGGGTGTGGGAGCACTGGGGGAGATTGGCATAGGCCCAGGTGTGTGTGCATGTGTTGGCAGAGGCATACAGGAACTGTGGGTAGAGGATGGACTGGGGACAAAGGGAAGGCATATAGGAGAGCTAGGTCAACCTCCATTGTGTAGACCACATGGAAAAAAAAAAAGAAAATATAAAGCCACCCTCAGCAGGAAAACACACTGCCCAGGACCCCAGTAGGAACCTCAGTTCCATTATTTCACAGACAAGACTTCCCTAGGTACCATGGAGAACTCCCCTTAAGCCTCTTAGGTGCACTGGCTGCATCAGCTTAGAGTAGGGGGGGCATTGGGTTACTTCTCTCTGGGAAGAGGAGCAGCATATGGGGCAGGGTGAGGGTGCTCCTCATCTCGAAGCCCCCTTTGCCCCCCATCCCCGTGAAAAGAACACAAACAAATTCCAGTGTTGGGGGTAGGAGAGGACTGGTCCCCAAACCCTGGAGGGGTGCCCAAGCACACAAGACAAGAACAGGGCTCCCTACACAGAGGGCAGTGGATGGGGTCCTTAAAGGAAAGATACAGCAACACCAAAGTCACAGGCGAACACAACACCGTGGGGAAGGGTGGGAGACGGAGGAAATAAAAAAACGAAGCCAAGTGGGGTCTGCCCTGAGCTCCCCTGGCTCCCCAGGAGTTTGGGGCTGGTTTAGGGCAGCTGGTCAAGTCTCTGTCGAGCTCCTGGGGCAGTGGGCTGTGGGGGTGGGCAGGGGGCGTGCGGGTAGGGGCCAGGGAGAGGTGGGCACAGACAGAGGCTACAGAAGGCGGGGCTACACATACCACTCCTTCTTGGAAATGAAAGACCCATCGTTCTGAGAAACCATGTTCTCAGCCAAGTCCAGCTGTTCAGGGTCATACTGGTAGCCCAGAGTCCGGTCCCCATAGCCGTCCTGACGGGCCTCAGCTTCATCCACAGTGAAGTAGGGCCGTTTGGCGTCCTCGTCATACTTGGGGTGGGGTCCGCCCACCTTGCGTTCGCCCCCTCCACCGCCCTCCTCCTCTTCTTCCTCCTCATAGCTGCTCCCGCCCAGTGGTCCGGCCTTCTTTTCGTCATCTGAGTCATCTGGGTACTGCAGGTTCTGGGCCATTGGCGGGTGATGCTGGGGGATTCCTGCCTTGCTGTAGCCATTGCCGTATACATGCTTCTTGGTGCTGTAGTCACCCTTGAAGGTGTGCCGGCGCCGGCGCAGGGCCACCACGATCCCTCCAACCACAATCAGCACCAGCAGGACACTCCCTGCCACACCCCCAATGATGGCTGTGGGCACCTGCCCGGAACGACGCCCATGTTCAGGAGACGGGGTGTAGGGGAATTCTGGGTGAGGAAAAGAGATGGAGGGGACAGTGTCAGTGTCTGCTTTTTGCAAGTCAGCAGGGGTGTAGGGAGGCAGGGGAGGGAAAGACCCAGGACAGGATTCCACACCCCATGTTTGAGCAGTCCTGGTGCCAGAGGCTCCCAGTGCCCACCTTCCTGATGTCATGTCAGCTGCAGCATTGGGAGCTGGAAAATGGCAGGCAAGATGAGAGGCAGCTAAAGTACCCAGAGCACGCAGGCTTCCATCCTGACCATCCCTGGAGGTAGTGTCAGCTCTGTTCTATCCCATCATGGTACAGAGGTACATCTGCAGGTACCCAACTGCGCGCCCCTCACCGTCGCCACCATCCAAGGGTGGTCTGCTGTTCATTTCTATTCAATGCAGGAGACAGCTAGGGAGGTTAACTTACCCAGTGCTACTTAGACAATAAGATAGAATATTGCTGGTTTTTGTTTTGTTTTTTGTTTTTCCATATAAACCCTGTGCTCATATTACCAGTGTCCCTTTGATTGACATACAGACATTACTGTCCCAACACCAGGAGCCTCGTAAGTATTCCAGGACTGACTTCTTTTGCTTTCCGGATACACAGAAAATGGGTTTCCAAGCTTTGGCTTAGTAGATACCCTGTGGATGCTAATCTTCTGCCAGTGTGCTACACACTACGGTTGTGACTCTTGGATGTGGTCTGGCAGGCACAATGGGGACCTCTTGGGATTGCCAGCTTGGGCTACGGGGTTGAGACACCACAGGGGACAGACTGTAGGCACAAAGTAAGGACAGGCAGAAAGGGGCTGCAGAGTCCCATGCATGTATTACAGACCAGCAACATATACATGTGCGAGCATGTCTAACGGCCCACAGGCCTTGCCAGGCACAACAAATGTTTGCATAGAGATATGCAGATAATGAGGACAGACTGAGCCAGGCATAGTGGCTCATGCTTGTAATTTCAGGGTTCAAAAGACTAAGGCAGGCAGGGGGGTTGCTGTAAGTTCAAGGCCAGTTTGAGTAAAACTGTCTCAAAAAAAAAAAAAGGACAAAAAGAAAAAAGGAAGAAAAGTCAATAATGTGAATAGAGTGGAAATAAGACAGTAAGGGTAGGGGAAAGACTAGAAGACACTGGAAGGAAGAGAAGGTGGGGTGGGTAACTTGACAACCCTGCGTTCTCTCTGTCTCTCTGTCTCTGTCTGTCTTTCCTCTCTCTCTCTCTGTGTCTCTCTGCCTCTATCTCTCTCCTCTCTCTCTGTCTGTCTCTGTCTGTCTCTGTCTGTCTGTCTGTCTGTCTGTCTGTCTGTCTGTCTCTTCCTTTCTCTTCCAGGTCTGGGTGGTGGATGGGAGAAGGTGAAGCCAGGCCAGGCCATAGGCCAAGAGGTCCCAGGGCAAAACACTGGGAGATGGTTCCCAGCACTACCACAGGGTGGCACCGGAGACCGTGCCTGGCCTTGGTCAGGAGCTGGGGTGGAAGGCTGCTGTCCAGTCCTCTCTCCAGACTGGCCCTGCTCTTGTCTGGGCCCATGCGTCTGCTCTTGGAAGCCGGCTGCAGCCAGCTCACTCCGTGATTCAGCATCACTCACTCCACCGGAGTCACACCCCTCCCATGGGCCCCGTGTGAGTGTGTGGGGTGCTGTTGGCAAGGGGGCAGGAGCAGGGCGGAGGTTCTGAACGGCGGGGGGGGGGCTTCCTGTGTCTCGGGCTGGAAAGGCTAGTGAAAACATGGGGGCCCCTGGAGGGGGCACTTGCCTGAGATCACAAGGCCGAGCTGCAGCCTCCCGGATGCTCCTGAGCCTCGAGGATTCAGTTCCCCATTTGTCACCACTCTGTCCTCAACACAGGTCACAGAAGACCTGGTCCATAAATGTTTGCTGCTATCTCTCTTGACTGCCTATCTCTGCAACAGTCTCTGGGAGCAGTCTCAAGCTCCTCGTGGTTTCCTGGGTCTGCTCACTGCCCTTTGAAGGGAGACACCTTACACATCCGCACTGTCAGCCTGCCTCCTCCACGTCAGTTCTCCTCAGATCTGATCTTCTACATGTGCCTCCATGTCTTTCTTTGGTTGGTTGGTTTGAAACAAGGCCCCAGGAACCCAGGCTGGCTTTGAACTTGAGATCGTTCCGTATTAGCCTCCTGAGTGTTGAGGTCACCACCATTCCTGGCCCATACCCACCCGTCTATTTCCTTACTCAGTGAGCAAATATACCCCAAGTATCTTTCTCTCTGGTCACAGAGTGACTGTGGAACCAAACGACGTGCTTGGAGTCGCAGCAGCAAGCAGACATCAAGGATGCTGGCAGCCCAGTGCTCGGGGTGCAGGAGAAAGAGGACGCTGTGGCACATACTTAGAAGAGAAGAGGCTTCTTGGAGGCTGGACTTTGCCCAGTCTTGAAGGATGGTATGGCCTCAGAGAGGCCAAGACAGGTGTCCACATGGAAACACCTGCCTGCCACTTCTGAGCTGTGCCCCTAGGCTGCTGCGAGGACCCCTGGGTCCTTGGCTTCCCTCCTCGGTGCTCTGTAACCATCTGTGCTGCTGGGCTTCTTCCAGTGCCCCAGGGGAGGCTTTGTCCTTGGACCTTTGTCCCTTGCTGCCTTCACTCATGACAGAGCTCATCACCATTTCATGACTTAACTGTGAGCCTCCTGACTTCTCAGGCCACTTCAAGTACACAGCTCTTGCTCAGCAGCAGACCTGTATCTTTGAAGGCCTCTGGTATAGTTTCCCAAACTGTACTGCATGGAACCTTGAGCCTGACTCAGAGCTCAGCAAAAAGCAGTAGGACAAACACTTCGAGAAACGTTGGCCGAGATGACACATGGGAGATACAGGATGGAGTAATTCCCAGCTTCCTGGAGCCTGACCCCATTTTCCTGCCCACAGGACCACCCCGGGGAAGTCACATTTAGGGTTACAGAATCAAGAGACTTCTGGAATCACCAACTCAGATCCCACCTGTTCTGACATGGCTGCCCACCTCCTTTGTCATGCTCTCCACTCAACAGTCCTTTCCTGGGCTCCCACTGCCACCAGCGTTTGTCCCCTCTGACTCTCTTCCTCTGTTACCTCACTGTCCCCTTGCTGTCTGCAGAAGATTCTGGAACCTCTCACCTTCACTGGGTCTCTTCACTCTGAGTTGCCCCAGCCACACTCAGCAGATTAATTCCCACTGTAAAGTCATGAACACTCTCTGTCTCAGGGACCAGCAGCAAGTTCCCATTGCCTGCCGGCCTCAGAACCTGGCCTGACAAGCCTCTGTCACACACCTTCCCTGCTGGCCCCACCAAAGGCCTGGGTGCTGAAGGCTGGGTTGCTAGCATGGCGCTAATGGGAGGTGGCACCTTTAGAGCTAGAGCCTAGCGTAAGGAAGTTCAGTCACTGGGGGTGTGTCCTTGAAAGGATATAGGGACCCTTGTCTGTTTGCTGGCTTCCACAGAATGAATGAGATACTCTGCCTCACATTCTTTCCATGATATGCTGTTTCACTATAGGCCCTGAAGCCTATGTCAAGCAACCATCGACTGCAACTTTTGAAACTATATACTAGAATGAACCCTAATACCCTGCCAAGACAAGTGTCTCACTATGCAGTCCTGGCTGTCCTGGAACTTACTCTGTAGACCAGGCTGGCCTTGAAATCAAGGAGATCTGTCTGCCTCTGCCTCCTGAGTGCTGGAGTCAAAGGTATGTGAACCTTTCCTCTTTCTAGATTCATCATCTCAGGTATTTCATGATAGTAACAGAAAGCTGAGCAACACACTATGCTTGCTATGTAAGTGGGTTCTGTGTGTGTGTGTGTGTATGTGTATGTGTGTGTGTATGTGTATGTATGTGTGTGTGTATGTGTGTGTGTGTGTGTATGTGTGTGCATGCGCGCATGTTACTAAGGATTTAACATAGAACCTGGCACAAGCTAGGCAAGTACTCTACCACCAGGCTATATTTTCAGTTCTCTTTTACTTCATATTTTGAGATAGGGTCTTATTAAGTCTCTCAGGCTGGTCTTGAACCTGTGATCGTCTGGCCTCAGCTTCCCAAGTAGCTGGGATTACAGACCCAGTTCCAAGTGAGTCCCTATTCACAAACAACCCTTTGCTTACACCACACACCCCGCCAGAACCCTTCACTCTATTTAAAACAATTTCAGATCCCAATTTATTAATTACAAATTCATTGCTAATAATAAAGGCAAATTAGGATTAACCATGGTTGGTTCTGGTTGCCCTCTTGGTCGGGGATAAGGGAGGGGCTGAGGGAAGTAGCCACTCATCCTCTGGGGCTGACTGACTGCAGTATGACCGCTGTGCATAACACGAGTTCCATCATGGTTACTTTCCTGCTTTCCCAGCAAAGAGCCAATGAAAAATACCGTGCGCCTACATTTAACTCAGCTAGATTGGATTTTCTGACCCCACTAATCACAGAATGACAGGGTTTGCTGTATCATCTGTCTGATGAGAATGGTTGGTGCCCCAAACTACTCTGTAAATTATATTTTGAGATAAATCTAGAATCTAGCCATTTTTCGCCATTCCATCCCAACCACCCTCCTCCAAGACAGCACCATCTCTCACCTGGATTATTTATGGTTATCGACACCTAACTACTTCCAGTCTTTGCTTCTACGGACTGTATTTGATATAGCAGCCAGCAAGATCCCATTAAGGTCTAAGTCATATTCCATCGACACCCTGCCCAGAGTCCCTAATGACTGTTTTCCTCTCAGAGAAAGCCCAAAGCCTAGAATGTTCTCCATGACCTGTGCCCTGCCCTACCTCTGACACCATCTGGCCCTGCTTTCCTGCAGGCTGAGGGCTCTTTGCCATGGACTGGAGCTTCATGCCATCATCTGCTTCAGGGCTTGGCTTGCGTATCACCTACTCATGAACACTTTCCCTACCCATAGTCTATAAAAATGCCGTGTAAAGTCCCTCATCTTCAGCACAGCGACCTTCCTCTCACTGTTCTGTGTCGCCTTCAGGACCCCAGAGTATTTACAAGGATGGAGTTTGGTTTGTTTTGCTCACTGATTTATCCCAAATGCTTAGATTACATGGCAAAGAAATCTTGGTTGAGTAAAAGAACATATTTTCTCACTTCATGGCTTTGCCTTAAAGATGAGGCCCACTCCAGGCAGTGCAAGCATTCAGTCCACAGATAAAGTGGGCCCAGGACACACCGGGGATCTCATTTTATAGAAGTCAGGATAGGAGTAGAGCCGTGGCTTAGGGACAGATTATACTTGGTTCTCCACCTCCGGCCTCCCCAGCCCAGGTCCTCTTCCTTATTATTATTATTTTTTCTAAGCTCTAATGAGGTTTACTGTTCCTGTGGTCCCTTTTGGGACCAAAGCGAACCCATGTTGTTTTTACTGCTCTAGTGTCAGGTCTGTGTAGAACAGAGCTAAGATGCCAGAATAAAAGGGAGGTGGAAGGAAGGGGTGGTTATGGGAACTTAATTCCTATGCCAGCAGGAGGAAAGGGACATCCTGCTCCTCTCCTCCACCCCTCCATTTGTCACAGCCAGCAACTTCTGTGCCAGTGGCAGAGGCAGAGCCTTAAGGGTTACAGCTGGGTAGAGAGGGAAGAACCTAGCACTGGGGACATTTGCTCTTGTTGCTGGGGGCCCAGCTAGATCATCTCACACGCTCTTACAAAGTGGCCCACCCGGCCCTGCTTCTGAAGGGTTACAGGCTTCCCTCTGGGCACCTGGGATGGACAGAACTTCAGGGCAATGGGATTTCTCATTCTGGGTCTCTAGTTCCCAATCTAAGATGGGTGGCCCAATGTGCCGGGCTTTGGATAGATCTAAGGTGAACTGGAGTTAGGGTTTATAGTTTGGAATTAGGATCTAGGGTTAAAGAAAATGTCTGAGCTTGCTTCCACAACCCAACGCTCAATGTTTTAGCAGGCAGGAAATGACCTACATCAGATCAGGCCAGGGAGTTGTGAGAACTACATTTCCCAGCATGCAATGAGGGCAGCCACAGGGAGAATGGGAAGGCATAGGGTCATAGCCTGAAAAGTCCTGCTGTCTTCCTGCATCTGAAGCAGCTGTGTAGCTTCCCCATTGTCTGACAGGGCTCCTGCAAGCTGGAAGAGCAACTCCCAGAGGTATGGGCTCAGCTGCATTCTCATACTCCCAAACACACTACCATTTGCTGGCTTGGAGACAGGCACATTTGCCCTCAGCATAGCCCCAGGCTTCCATTTGCACACTCAGCATGCAGACAGTGGCTTGCCCGCTCACACTGGCTCACACATGCTTACAGAAGAACACGCCCACACTCATGTCTGGGCAGGCACACTTGCAGAGACACTCCCTGTGAAGGCCCACCACCCTTGGTCCAAAAAACTGGCCCAACTGGCATGTCCATGGGATGAGCCCAGACTTCACTCACTGGAAGTAAGAGTTGGGACAGACACACTGAGCTTGAGTGGCTTCCCTGCCCTGCTCTCGGGAGTGGCAATGGGCCAATCTGCCACTTTCCTCCTTAGGGGCAAAAGCTATATCCTGTTTGGTCAAGCCATATCCTGGACCCCTCCCCACCCTTAGTGTTAGCCCTTGAGGATGGAAGAAGACAGGTACTCTGTCTACTACATTGTGGGACCACTGACCCTGCACTCTGAAATTGCTTCTCAGCACAAGGGCCTTGGAAACTGGCTTCTTTGAGAGGCCAGATGCGACTAAATGCATCCACAAATTCCACTGGGTTGTTTCCTCAGCGTTCTTATCCCTATGGCCACAGCTTGGGCCTATTTCACACCAGAGTTCATTCACTGTGACAGTGACTACCTCGTGTCCTGGTGCCACGCTGCAGTCATCTGAACACAGCCAAACCAGCCCTGCCATGCTACGAGCCTTCCAGAGGCTATGGGGCCCTTCTTCTACCGCCGTCCCAGCTCCTCACCTTCCCCTCCCCACCCCACCCCAGCTGCGCTTTATTCCACTCTCCAGATGTGCCCAGGGCAAAGCTATTACCTGGAAGGACAGTCAGAATGAAATATTAAATTTCCACTTATCTCTCTCACTCATACATTGCCTTCAGATGGGCTGGGAGCACAGGGGCCAGCTGTGACTCTTGGGGTGGTCCCCAGAGACTACAGAGGTCACTTGCTGATGAGGGGAAAAGGGTGATGACGTCACTTGCCACTTAGAGACTAGACAGCACTGGAAAGGCTTTTAAACATCTGGCTGAATCCTTCAGAAAGGCTGAAAGCTGCTCCCTCTGGGCTGACCCACAGCTCCCAAGCCCATCTGGAGAGCGAGGGGTGCCATGCTTTCTTGTCTCTTGGCTCCTGGCTAATAGATTTGCCAGCAACAGAGCTGGCATGGTATGACCCTTCTCCAACTGGAGTTCCGGGTGGCTTTAGATCACCTTTCCTCAAACACACTCCAGAAGTTATGTGCAGACGAGCACACACTACCACCTACATAGACCTGACCACGGGTCCCACAGCAGGTACCAGATACACGTGGTGGCTTCCTCCCCACGGCTAGTCTTTTCTTCCTTCTTCTCCTCTCTGCTCCTGCACCTGAGCCCCAAGGAGTAGCCTTTCCTCAAGACCATTGCCTTTGATCCTGGGTTTTGAAGAAGGGAGGATGCACCCTCCTGCTGACTGTGATTCTGAGACTGGGCGTACTTGCCCTAGCAACGTCTCTGGCTAATCTTCTCATGCTGATAAGTAACATCAGTGAGAGGGTGCTTGTAGGCTCCTTACTTTCTTCAAATTCCCAATCAGCCATTTTCCCAGAGTTCCTGGGTGGCAGAGTGGGATGCTGGAGTGGGTTTGGTGTGCCTGTGGAGGAAGTAGTCCATGGCCATATGGACCATGGGATGTAAGTTGGACTACCTCCACATTACAGATTGGGAAGCTGAGGTTCAGAGAGGCCAAGAAATTATTCAAGGCCACACAGTCAAGAGTCCTTTCATGGAAACATTCCTGGCCCTCAAGTGACACTGCTCATCACGCTGGTTATGATGACTCCTCATAGGAGCTGTGCATTTCCTCATCCGACTCCACAGCCTCAGGGCCAGAGCTCAGACTCGGGAGAACTGTGTGACAGTCCTCTTCTGCTTGTCTGTCACCCTATAGGAACTCCCAAACCCTATCCTGGCAAGTTACCTTGGCTGTTAGCAGGTTCCAAGCCTCTTCTCCTACAAATTCTCCTAGAGTCAGGGGCAGGGAATTGATGAAAGTAGTACGTTACCACACCCCTTCGTTCCTAGGTGACAGGACAGCCCTGAGGACAGGTCAGTGGTCCCTAGATAGCTCCAGCTGCTCTTTGTACAGATGTATTTGGAATATACCCACAGATGATGTCTTACTCTCAGAGCCAGCAAATCATCAGGGCTCTCCCAAACCTGTGTCTAGCTAGGATCTGTTACCACTACCTAGTTTCCTAGGAGTCCAAGGTCACTGTGCCTATTATATCCTGTCTCCTTTGGTGGCAGTGGGATGTCCCTTTCTGTTTTGGGAGTTCTTTATGTCACCTTCTCACACTGCAACCAGCTCAGGTTTGGTACTAAAACACTCCCCCTTTTGAAGTTTGGTGGCAATTTACTCCTTGGTGCATTTGTTTTGATGCTCCTGCTAATGACAATGATAATGATGGAGGTCACGACAATAATAACAGAGCCGTGGCCACTTACTGACAGACTGAGTTGTGCTAGGTTATGTGACCTACATTATGTGTCACTGGACAGCAGCCCTTTCTTCAAGGCAGGTCATACTACCCCCATTTTGCAGATGAGGCCTGCTCGGGTCACATCCCAGGTGAAGTCTCTGTGTGGAGCATCAGAGCACTCATTTCCCCTGACTGACTCACCCCCACTGTAATGACAGAGAAAGGCCTGGGAAAAGAGCAATTTGGTCTCCAGACGTAAGTATCCAGTGCCTTCAGGGTGCTTGCTCCCACTAGCCTCTACTTTACCGTCTGTCTTGTGTTCCGCATGAGGTCAGCCTCACCCCTGCAGCCCTACAGGTTTCCTCAACTCCAGCTGCAGACCTTGGAGGACATGAGCTCGGCCTGCAGACCTGTCCCATCAAGTCACCATGACTCCCTGGAGCAAGCGGTCAGCCATTGCTGCAAACAGCACTTCCTGCCCCTGAAGGTCACTCTGATAGAACCCTATAGCCCACCCCCCATAAAGCAAGAGAAGAATGTAAAGAGAACCACGGCCTTAGGTGGGGGAGGACGCCAACTTCCCACCAGGTACAATGAAAGGAGTGGGTACAGCTAGGGAGGACCCTGAGGCTGGGGGCGGGGCAGCAGGGACGGCTGAAGATTCCTACCTGTGATATTGACCTCCACCTGGCCTGAGCGGGTGCCAATGGGGTTGGTGGCCTCACAGATGTAGGTTCCTGCCAGGCTGTAGTTGATGGGTCCTCGGAAGAAGAGGGTTCTGTTCTGGGCCTCCACACCCTTGGGGAGAGAGCCGTTCAACCTGTAGGTATTGGGAGACACAGTGAGGGTTTAGGACTCTCCAGCTCCAAAAATCAGCCACTGGGGCATCCACTTGGCTCTGGTGCTATCTGCTGGCTCTTTTGTTGAGTGCATGCATATATTGGAGTCTGTCTGAGATGGAGGAAAAAGTAACAATAATGTCTTGCATCTCAGTTTTCTATTATTCAGTAATTCATTTTATTTTTTTGAGACAGGGTTTTGTTATGTAGCCCAGGTATCCTCTGAACTTGCAGCAATCCTGTCTGGGCCTCTCTGATGCTGAGATTACAGGGCTTGGGCCACCATGCTTGGCAGTTCCTGCTTGATCATCTCACACCGAAATGTATTCAAGGCAGGTGGGTACCACTCTCACATTAACAGATAAAGCTCAAGATTCAAGGCCAAGGACACACAGCTAGGAAGCAGCAGAGCAGAGGCCAGCTGGGTCTGCAGGCTTCAGTACAGTGCCTGTTCTACTGCTCCTGGGTCCTCTTGCTGGTCCTTCGCCTCCTTGGCAGTGAGTTGACAACAGCGACACCTGACCCTAGTTCTCCTTTAGTGGGGCTACAGAGGCCAAGTGCATTTGGAGAAGCTATTAGGATGGAGAACAGGCATGGCTGAGCTCCTATTCATCATCTTGCCATTGCTGGGCATGTCAAGACGCTTTCGTGTGGGGAACATCCTGGGAGTTTGCCAAGTTCAGAAGACCTTCGTCCTCCCCTTGTTAGCTGTTCTTCAGTTAAAAGCCAGCAGCTGCTCTGGCTACAGGGCCACTGGGCCCTGGCAAGCAGGTTCAGCCCACCCTCACCTTCAAAAGCATTTTTGTGCCTGGAAATGCAGGCTGAACAGGGAGGACTTGCCAGGGTCCTCCACTCCCTAGAAAATGGTTTAAACTCACTCTTAGCTGCTGTCTTCTGGCCACTCATGTCAACTTTCTTAGCTTTCCCCACTCCCAACACCCTGTCTGAGTCCCACCTAGGTCTCTGTGGAAGGAATGATGGCTTGGGATGTTCAAGTTGGCTAGAAGGGTATGTTCCTCTCTGAAAGTCAAGAACCAGACTGTAAAGCCAAGAGTGGGATAGTGGGACACGGGGGTCTACTGCTGCCTCCACCCAGAGAACCTGGGGTTGCTGTACAGAAGGACTGACTAGGAACAAAGAAAGACTGGGGTGTTCCAGGACACCAACTTCCCAGGAGACACCTTGATAAAAATAAATAATGGGGACTGGGGTAGGATGGCTTACCCAAAGAAAATGATAAAATCCTTTATTAGTGAGTGAAGGGAAGCAGGTCATGAGGGAAACCCCCACTTGCAAGATCATTAGTCCCAAACCCTAGCACTCTGATGTAGAGGTGTGTATACATAGTGTGTGTGTATGTGTGTGTGTGTGTGTGTGTGTGTTCATGTGGGATCTCTTAAAACAACCCTCATGGAAAAATCTGAGCCTAGATTCTAATCCTCCCTTCTCCCTGGAGGTGTGTGGTTGGGCACCTGTGGTCCAGCAAAGGGTACTTTGAGGGGATGGGCTAGCCTACGGCACTCACGTGGTCCAGTGGTACTCGGTGGCTGGGGGGTTGGCATCCGCTTTGCATGTAAGCTTCACATCTGTCCGCTGCAAGTACCAGTTGCCATCAAAGCCCTCAATGGTCACCTCAGGTTCATCTGTGAGGCAAGGGAGGATATTGCAAGAGGGTGAGGTCAGGGGGACGCAGGGAAGCGATGGAAGGCACAGTTAAGGATGGGAGACAGTGGGAACACAGGGCCAGCTAGAAGGAAAGACAAGTTGGCATGGCAAGGCTGAAGGCAGGGTATTATGAGATGCTTCTACTATACCAGACCTCAGAGTGAAGGCAGAAGGAGGGGTAGTGACAGAGGATGGAGAAATTGCAGCATCTTGGAGGAGAAAGCAGTGGGGAGAGACTAAGGAACAGAAGAGGAGGACACGTAGCAATGGGTGGGAAGGGCCCCCCCAGGCTCACACTGCACGTTGAGTGTGAGGCTCTCCCTGAAGCGGTCCAGGTGATAGTTGACGATGCAAGCCAGGGACTGCCGGTGGGCTTCCCGGCTGGGCACCAAGCGGTAACGGCTGATGACTGTCACTGTGCCATTGGGGTTCCGAATTTCCTGGTACTCTGCCTCGCCCTTTAGTCGTGTTTCCCAGGACACCACACTGGGAGGCTTCCCATTGGCTGAGGTGCAGGTGGCCACCACGACCTTGTCATCCTGTCCCTTCCTGGCTCGAAGCACTGCCTGGGTGCCCTCGATCCAGTTGGTGGGTTTGGCTGTGGGCACAGTACCATGGCATCAGTTGAAGTTGCCTGTCACCCCTGCCTCTCGGTTGTGCTTTGCCAAAGCCCTTCCCAGAAATTCTCTTGGGAAGTTCCTCATGACAGTAAATCCTTCTTACTGCACAAATAGTCCTGTTGTTAGGCTTCTTAGAGTCTTGGCATGCTCAAGTTAAGCAACTTCCTTCCTATGGTATCTAAAGCACCTGCTGCATCCTAGTCTCCAACACAATCCTTGGTGGGGGGCGGCTCCAACCTAAATACTGCCCCTGCCCAAAGCTAAAACCCCACCCCCAATCCTCGGGGAATTACGGACAGTCTGGCTAGTTAAGTGAGAAGCACCATGGTTGGAGTTAAGGGAGCATGCCAACCCTACAGGGGTGTCTGGGGCCACTGAGGCACATGCTAACGATGGTCAACCACTCTAGACAGGCGAGGGAAAGAGGCCCAGGGCAGCTTACCCATCACAGTGAGATTGAGCTGGCTCTCACGGTTGCCTGTAGGGAAGGTGGCAAATTCACAGATGTACATGCCCTCGTCCTCCAGCTCCAGGTGGGAGAGGCGGATGGTGCCATCAATGAAGGAGGGTCGCAGGAACTCCACTCGTTTCTCGTAGGGGGGCAGCACGGAGACGCCCATAGTTGGGTTGTAGATGGCCATGTTCTGCTTGGAGCCATTGGTGGCCTTTTGCCATGTGACCTGGGTAATCTTCACACTGGGCAGTGGGTTGGCAAAACTACAGTGCAGTACCACATCTGTGCCGATGAAGCCATACATGGAGTCGTTCACCTGCACCACCTGCGTGCGAGTGCCTGGCAGAGGGGATGACAGGAAGGGGTCAGTGCCAGCCACTACTCCCCGCCCCTAGCATTCTCTGTCCTGTGGTCTTAACTTTTACAGCAGTCATTACTTCTGTAATTCTTCTTGTGAAAATGATCACAGGGTCTGGTGGTTTGTACCTATAACCCCAGCACGTGCGAGGCTTAAGCAACAAGATGGCCATGAGACCTTGAGGCCAGCCCAGGTTACATAGTAAGTTCTAGGATAACCTGAGATTCAAGTGACACTCATTTCAAATCCCCCCAAAATGAATTAATTACTTGATATAAAAGTCGCCTGTTAAGGTGGCTCAGTGGGTAAAGACATTGGCCACCAAGCATGGCGACCTAAATTTGATCCCCAGAACCTACAAGGTGGAAGAGACCCCTTTAAATTGTTCTCTGACCTTCACACACCCACCATGGCATATGCACACACACAACAAATTTAATAATAAAATCTCACTCTAGATAATTCTGCAAAAATACCAAGAAGACAATGACATCATTCACTTGTAGCTCAGAACGGCTCTGGCTCTTGAGTGCTTGGAGTAAAGGTGTGCGCCACCACTGCCCAAAGTCTCGGCTACATGTGTGCTGGGATTCTCCATGTGTGCCACAACCATGCCTGGCTACTCTCTGTATTATATTAACATGTATGTGTGTGATGCATGCACATGGGGGTCTGAGGTTGATGCTAAGTATCCTCCTAGGTTGAGTTCCACCATGGTTTTCTTTCTTTAGACAGGGTCTTACTGTGTATCCCTGGCTGATCTAGAACTTGTTGTGTTAACTAGACTTGCTTTGAATTTGCAGAGATCTGCTTGCCTCTGCCTCCCCAGTGCTGGAGTTAAAAGGGATGAGCTTCCCAGACTTATATTTTTAGGTGAGATCTCTCAGTTGGACCCAGATGGTGTTTATTTGGCTAGCCAGCTTGCTCCAGGGACCCCATCTTTGCCTCCTAGGCAGGCCACTATGCCCATCTGGCATTTATGTGGGTGCTGGGGACCCTAAATATGGACCTAATGTTTTTATGGCAAGCACTTTACCCAGTGAGCCATTTCTCTATATTAAAAAAAATCAGAATCATACTGTACAGATTGTCCAAATGCTGCTTTTTACTTAGTATACGGGTCAGTGTTCCATGTTAGGAAACATACATCTGCATGGTTCTACGGATGGAGATAACCAACATGCTTGGCAAGCCTTCCACTACTGCACTGCATGTAAGCTCTGCCTCCCCTTGCCCTCCCAAGGCATCTTTGAGGGCAGTTTTTGACTATGTAGTCAAGTCTGACCTTGAACTAACCATCTTCCTGCCTCAGCCTCCAGAAAGTTAGGATTACAGGTGGTGGCACCATACCTAGCATGCCTTTTTTTTTTAATGGACTGAGAAAGGTCTACTTTCCAAGAAGAGCTCTAGCTAGGAGCTTTCCTGAGCCTTGGCTCCCTCGTCTGACAAATGAGCCAGATAATCCAGTCTTCTCGCCTCACCCGTTGCTGGGGAAACAAATGGCGGACAGGTAAGAAAGGACAAGGGGGTGGGGGCAAGAGTTGGAGAAGGTGTACAGATGCACGGTGAGGTCTTTTCCCTCTAGCTCCTGTGAGAGAGGCCGCTCAAGCCCTTCTGTTAGGAAGCTCCCAGCCTGGTCCTTCATATTCCCCCAGTACAGCCCTCTCCGTCTCAGAATATGGCTGTTTACACATGGCTTCTCTCCTGGACTATGAACTCCTGCAGGGAGCTCTTTCCCTTCCTGAGTCCCCACAGCCCAGCCCAACTCAGCATCTGGCTTACACAGCAGGCTTCCGTGTTTCCTTTTCTCCAGTGTAGCAAATATTTATTGCTGGGCAAACTGTGGTGGTAGCTGAGAGAATGGAGACTCCCGGGAAGGAGCCGGCAGTGGGTGGCAAGGCATAAGCTCCTTCCAATCTCCACACCTAGGAAATTCTTTACAACCACCCCAGACCCAGGCTCTGCCCTCCACTTCCGTCCATCTGTGAGTGGGTCAAGTCCCCGAGGCTGCATCTTAGTCACATGACTGTATGTGCTTCCTGTCCTTGATGTGTGAGCATATGTTTGTGTACTTCAGACCCCACATCTTCAGCTTACTGAGTAGCATCAACAGTACCAAGCCCTCTACTGACCCAGAGGCAGGAGGATGGTTTCAAGAGAACTGGGATCCAAGAGCGGGAAGCTGGGGCTTCCCTTTGTCTCGTCTGTGTGGTGGAGAAGTAGGGACTCCTGGGAAGGTCCCAATGCCCATGGTCACCTCATCACATAGCTCCCCATTCCACTCTTCCAGAGATCACGTTAACTGGGGGATCTTAGGGCTTAGTGTACAGCAGGCTCTCAGGAAATGCATGCTGAGCCAGGCATGGCGGGATGCGCTTGTAATATTAGCATTCAGGAGTCTGAGTCAGAAGATCTTAAGTTCAAGGCCAGTCTGGACTGCATAGCGAGACCTTGGGAGGTGTGTGGAGGAAAGGAGAGGAGAGGGGAGGGGGTGGGTACAGAGAGACAGATACACACACACACACACACACACACACACACTCACACACACACACACACACATACACAGAGAGAGAGACAGAGATAGAGACAGAGAGACTTGCTGAAGACATCACTTTTGACTTTCCCAAGTCATGCCCCTGGCACTGAGAATTTCATACCCATTCCCATTTCTTTTTCCATTCACACTACACAGTCTTAACAAGCACACTGAGTGTTCCTGTCCTCCACCCCCAGCTGTCCCCTGGAAGCACCAGACACCTCAAACAGAGGTGCTGGGGGCTGGAGGAGCTGTGGGGAGGGGGAAGTATGGCACGTTGTTGGGGGCTGAATTTCTGCCTTCCTAAGGGACCCTGGCAGTCATTTCCCTTGCCTCTGCAAAGAAGCAGGCTGGCTGCCTTGGGCTTTCAGTTTCCGTCTGGCTCTAACTGTCTCACAGCAGCCCAGCCCGAGCCCCACCCAGAAGCGGCCCGCCGAGAAGAGGTCAGTGGGTCAGATGGTCTAGCACTCTGCTGACTGGTCAGCTGGCAAGAAACTAATTCCTCCATCCTCCCTGACAGGATAAATGGGTGCTCTCTGATGCTCCTTCAGCCTCCACTCCCCAAGCCTGCTGGAGGCTACCCAGCAGCTGAGATAATGTGGGCATAATTGGGGAACTTGCGCCACATAAAGCCAAGAACTGGAAAAGCCAGTTGGGAGGGCTTGGGTCACAACTTGAGAGTTGGGGAAAGGGCCCTGGGTATCAGGAACCGTCTTGGTGCTAGGTATGGTGGCCCTGGAGGGACACATGGCCCACTGAGCCCCACTACCCCATCTCCTCCCATCCCTTCGGCAGTGGTGGGGCAGGCAGGGGGAGGGCTCTGATACAAAGGCTGATATTCCTAAAATGCTTCCCAAACAGTGACCTCATCCTTCAGGGGGTAAGCCGGTGCCAGGAGGGGAGGTGGTTGCTGATGTCCCAAGTAAGTTGGGGAAGTTTCTGTGCCAAAGCAGGTGTGTGTGTGTGTGTGTGTGTGTGTGTGTGTGTGTGTGTGTGTGTCCCCTCCCTCCCTAAGTCTATGCTGGTGGAGGCCATTTTTCTCTCCACTGGGCTCTCCCAGAAGCAGTTTCTTGGTGGTATGGAGAGAGGCATTCCTGTTATCCCCTCATTGTATACAAAGGCATTCCTGAACCTTTCTGGCCCTGAGACGGGCTGGGTGGGGCCATGGGGGACTGCTCAGTAGTGGGCATGCTCACATTTACTCTTGGACTCTATCATAGCTGGCTGATAACAGAGCCTAGGAGGTAGTCCATGGGTGGCATGTGGGGCTCCTGGAGTATTGAGGGTAAAGACCCCAGTCTTCTGGAGTCGAGAGAGAAGATGAAAGATTAGCAAAATTGGGCCCCGCCTCAACACTCCAGCCTGAGGGACTTGGTTCCTAAGCCTCTATGGTGGCTCGCTGGCCTGAACTAAGCATGTCAAATCAGGTCTAAGTATCTAGCTCTTAGACTGGGTGGCTTTCCAAAGGGAATAGGGCTCATCCTTGAACATGGAGGGGCTGGGTGGAAAGCCTGTGAGAAGAACAGGATTGACGGGTGCCTGCAGGGGCAGGTGGCAGGAAGGGAAGTCTTAGAGTATGTTCGGTTTTCTCCGTGCCTGCTCCGGCTTCACAGTCGGGAAAATGACATGGGTGGCTCCCAAGCTCCGCATGGCCTTTCCGGCACTCTCGTTGAGGTGCACAATGGGGTTGGGAAGAGTCTGCAATATGAGTCGGCATCCTGTCTCTGTGCCTGTCAGTGGGCCAATGGCTTAACCTCTCTCTGCGACTAGGTTTACACTGAGGGTGCGCATCTGCAAAACAGGGATTCTAATAGTTAATGCCTGTCCTATAAAACTGTTGTAAGGATGAAATGAAGGAGTGCAGGGGAAACTCAGAAAGCAGCATTATCATAAAATATGTAATCAGTGTTGGCTGCTGCCATTATCATCATCATCATCATCATCATCATTGTCGTCATCACCATCATCAACAACATCATCTATGAAGCAGTAGACAACCCTTTCTAGGACTTAATTCACCAAATGTTTACTAATCATCGACATGACATTAGACACTGTATGGGGTGCTACAGGCCCCCCCTCTTCTGGGACACTGAGATGGCTCTCATTTCTGACTCTCTGGTGGCCACTTGTACTAGGACCCCAATGGCAAATAACTATGCAACTGTACCCATTACTATTCCCTGCACTTGTGCGGTGTCTGTATCCTGTCACTCAATGGATGTCTGGCTACCATGGGAAAAGCAGGGGCTTAACCTTGGGCTGTGTCAACCACATTATGCTTGGCATGGTCGGCCCAAGGTTTGCAGAATCTGCTGATTCTCTGGTTACCCAAGTAATAAGCCCTCTTCCCGTGAAGACTATAGACTGGGGCTTATGCATGGTAGTACATGAGGGCTCAATGCATTAGGCAACTTGCTACTAACTAGGTCAAGAGGGGTT